ATATTGGGTATCATTCCCATGTCCAATTACTTCCATTAGGCTTAACTCTAAATACAAATGTTCATCATGTGTTATAGTGGAAAAGGTAGCCATTGCTATCCCTTTACCTAATGATTATATTCTATGATATCCTAACACTTTTCTCAAGTGTTCCTAATATGAATATTTTATAAATATGTGCTTTGGGTTTTGAATCTAAATAGTATAAATTATACTATAGTAAAATAATTAATAAGCTAAAATTATTGTTTTGATAAATTAATAAATTGAAAACCTATAAATTTAACTCTGGCAATTCCCACTTCTGAAGGAAGTAAAAGGTAACTTATCCAGTTGTAAAATGATGCCTCACAGTACTATAATTTAGAGTCCCACCACAGAGGTCATCGTATTGAATACATTTGCTATGTATAATTTTTAAGAAAGTTGAACGTGAGTCCCCAGGTGATCTATTGATCCTACAAGGAGAAGTAAGTGTCCACAGAGAATCTAGGGGAAAATAAGGTTATAACAGCATTTCTAAGGGTACTCCCAAAGCACAAATGATTCAAATTCCCATCACTGATGAGAAAAACATACACTATAGTGGAGCCCTTCCATGGAATATTGTTAAACATGAAGTAATACACACACTCATTTGTCCATGACCTAGTCAACCTTCTTTTACTTAAAAGAAATTCCTGACATAATCACCTCATAGGGAGGAAAGTTTAATTTCCTCCTGGTTGGAGAGATTTGCTAATTTTCTTAGCTCAGTCCTTGACTGCATTGGACCTAAGTTGAGACAACCTGTGGTTTAGAAAGCTCTTTTGGAAGAAGCTGCCCTCCTGGGAGACACTGGGATGCAGCAAGTCAGAGCAAGGGGGTGGTCTACCACCATATAGTGGTCCTGTGCTTGGGAACTAAACCTTTTAATGCACAGACTGGAGAACTTGCTATGCAAGCTTGGTCAAGGAGCCCTGGCATATACCATTTTGTGCACTGATTTGCAAGGTAAGCACTATATTGACTGATTTGCCTACTAGGTTCTTCTCTCAGGTTACCAGGCAGGCATGTGGTACACACATACATAGGTATGCAAAAAACCACACATATGAAGTAAAAATAAGATGAAAATTTATCAACACAGAGAAAAAGTACATCACCACATTCTTTATCTCAGAGCATCCTGTGTTTTTCTGCATCTTGGTGGGGATATACGTAAAGATGGTATAGGCTACTAAAAGCTACCCCTCTTCTCCATGGCATCCCAGGGGATCTCTTCTTACATTAGTGTATCTGGGAAGTAAACATGTGGATACAATGCAATGTGTTTGTATGGGTGCATCCTTGTACCTGTGTGTGTTCAGGAGTATGTGTGTGCATGCACATTCATGCATGTGTGGGTATATGGTACACAACTGTGCCCTAAGAACACAATCTTTTAATGAACATGAACATCAAAGACTGGAGGAAAATCTTCAGTTCCTGCTGAAGCAGACAGAACTGGTTACCCAGCAAAAATACTAGACAAGAAAGATATAGCATCACTTCACTGAGTCCCAGATAAGGTAGGAGCCTAGGCTGGCAGAAGCAGGTGGAATCAAGTGGGTCCCTTGTACATGAATGTCTGTCCTCTTTAGGTTTCTGTTCATTTGGAAAGGCTCCCAGGAACAGTCAGGGAAAAAATATCTCAGTGTATTATGCTTGCTAAGTCAATGAACTTCTGTCCAGGAAACAATATGCTTGATTCTTATTCTTATGGGGATTGTATCCCCTTCTTCCCTTCTGAGATCTGTAGTATTATCTGAGTATCTCATTAGCTATTGCCACAAATATCAAATGGTATCCCCAAACCTAGCAGGGGGAGAGGCAATTGTGAAGGACAGTGTGTCCTCCACTACTTTATTTTCCTTCAGGAACATCACATTTAGTAGTAAGTTTCTACCCTTCAGCAGATCATCATACAGCATACTCCTGCAGATTACATGCTCCCTACAGGGTTCCTCAGTTTCCTGTGAGATTTCTCTGGTCATAAACTGATTAGGAGTTGACAAGTTGATCCCATGCAGGGTCTGAGCTGTAGGAATAATGAGAGCCTTCTCTGCAGTGTTGTTTAGGCTCCACTAGAGGACATGCATAGTTTCCCAGTTTGCTCATATTCAGCAGGTATCATGGCCATGAATGTGTTTCCTGAACTGTGCCTCAGGCATTGCTATACTGATATTTCTCCATAATAAGAAGGACATTTTGGACAGAACCAGTGAATTTAAAATGATCAAGATAGAAAACTCCAGGTAACCATGTACTTGAATTAAATGTAAAGGTCTTGATGGGAGTAATAGGCAGATAAGGTAAACAAGCACACATGATTTCAATCTATGGTAAATATAAAACAAAAGTATTGGCAGATAATGGGGGATATCTTTTTGTTTCTCATATTGGCTGATGAATAATACACTGTTTGGCCAATAGAGGCAGGAAGATAGGCAGGAACAGGAGATGAGGAGAATTCTGGGAAAGATATGCAGAGAGACTCCATGTAGCAGCCAAAAGGAGTAACAGGTCTGGGCCTTCTCTGGTAAGCCAAGAAGACATAGAAATACATAGATTAATAGAAATGGGTTAATAATTAAGACAGAGCTAGCCAGTAAGAGCCACAGTATTCAGCAAAAGGTTTTATAATTAATATTGTTTTCATGTGTTTATTTGGGACAAAGAAGCATGGGAACTTGAGGTAAAGAAAGAATCCAGAGACAGGCAGAGTTACAGATTAATGACTCAGGAAAAGTAAGAGCTCTCTAAAATGCTTTAGTACCTGTGTTACTACCAAAGCAAACTGCTGAACAATGAGCTATACTAGGGACATCTATTATGAACAGCACAAATAGTATAATATACTTGTAATGATGAATGGGAATCAACTTTCCAGGCAGCCAGAACACTCTACTTAAAAAATATGTAACTATGGCCAGGCATTTGTTGTGCACTACCTTTAACCCTAGCATTCAGGAGGCAGAGGCATGTGAGTTTGAGGCCAGTCTGTCTACAAAGCAAGTTCCAGGGAAACCTCCAAAGCAATACAGAGAAACCTTGTCTCAAAAAACCAAAAAAATAAAAATAAATAAAAATAAAAAACAAAACAAATAGCAAAGAAAACAAACAAAAAAGTTAACTATGAATCCCCAAAAGAAGATGTGAAGGTGGATAGAAACTGACAAATCCAGATTAATGGCACAAATGGGAGAGAAAGTCCAAACAGGTTTACTTACAAATTGTCATTGTGTAATGATACATTGGTCAGGTCAAGGCCTATCTCTGGCTTTGGTACTCTATCAATACTGAATCTGCAAAACACACAGCAGCTCCCAATGCCACTAGGATGATTGGAGAGGTGGGAAACCTGGGGGAGAAAAGTGTTTTTTTCTTTCCTTTTTCATGTTGTTTTATTATTGTGTCCTTTTATCTCATTTTTATTCCCTATAGCATTCCTTTGTCAGAAGACACTACAAGAGTGAAGATTGGACACAGAGGGACTTGAAGATGAGTGGGATTGGAGTGCATGGTGTGATGTTACGAAAGAATCACTAAAAATAGAAAATGTGTAGGCTAAAAATCAAATTTCACTTTTTTCCATTTTTTAATATGAACTAAGCAATAAGAAGTTGTCACACAAACAGACAAATAAGGTTCTAGGCTTTTAAAAATTATGAATATATTGAACAATTCAGTGTAATTTTGACATAGGGACAAAATTACTGTACAACAAGGCTTCAAGATTTTGTGTTTCAAACAGAAAATTCCATTGAACTCTTGATATATCCACAGAACAAGATTTGTTGATGTTGATGGAAAACATTTAAAATTCAAATGAAACTTAGTTCTTTTATTGTAAGAGAGAGAGAGAAGAAACATGAACACTGCTGCCAATCAATTTGCCTTTACAGAGATTAACAGAATATTTCATCAGATGACAGCTTATGACAGCAGGTCCAATACACACAGGACACTGTCAACATGCTCAATATTACTGGTTGTTAAACAGGTTAAATAAACATACAAGACCTGATATAAAGCAATGTGTGCAATCCAACTACAGGGAAATTAAAATGTAAGTTAAAAACAGAGGAGTATCTCTATGACTCTAGTACATGAAAATTCAAGTTTTTAATTCTTAAAGTAATCAATAGGTTAAAAGGGAAAGTAAAAATATTTTGAATCAAATTGAAAGTAAAATATCAAAATTTCTGGAATAAAGCTAAACAAGCACTACTAAACAATAAAACATTACATGATTTCATGTGAAACTGAATCCATGTGGATTTTAGTTTTTATATTGTAAAATAAGACCTTACTCTGTAGCAGGGCCCAAGCTACCTACAACTCCCTATGTAGCCTACGTTGTTCTCAAACTATTGGAATCCTAATTACCAAGGGCATAGATTACAGGCATGAAATATTTATCACCTGACTTAAGTAGATTTGTAATATGGGATATAAATCTTTGCATCAAAATTAAAAAGAAAGTGAAAAAGAAGACACTAATCAATTTTGAAAAATTCAATCAATTGAAAATAAATATGACAAGATGTAACAGAATATGTATATATACACATACATATGTATGTGCATGTGTGTATACATTTAAAATTAATATGACAAGAGTGAGAGAATATATATATATGTGTGTGTGTGTATGTGTGTGTGTGTGTGTGTATGTGTCACTGATAAATCTCTAGGCACACTAGCCAAGAAAAAGGAAAGAATATTAAATTTACTCACATAGGGAATGAGAAATAGGATACTGCTGATCCCACAGGTACTAAGATGAAATAAAGAAGCATGGACCACATTAAACTCAGAAATATAAAATTTGGATTAAAGCCCACAATAATACTTTCAGAACTGCATTCTGCTATCCTGAACTTCAGAGTGGGCATTTCAGCCTCATGAGTACTTGGGCTGTGAGGAGTCACCAGGCTCTGAGAAGACTTCCCTGGCCCTCACTAGAGACATGCTGGACTAGGAGACTGCAGCCAAGAAGGATGTTTTGCCTTCACCTCAACTGCACAAGAACTGGGAAGCACAGATTCTGAGGAGATGTCAGTCTCCAAACTGAGGGCTCACTCCTCAGAGACCCTGGACCCTGCCATCCTGGCCTAGGGTTGCTTTCACCATGCTGTACCCCAAAGACCTCTTCTTCAATGTCTGGGCAGTGTATCATCAGTTCTTTAATGGCCTCTAGGCTGAGCATGCTCAATTGTCCAGACAGGGAGCACAAGTTAGGAGAGGGAGGTTAACAGTCTGGATGCTCATTGGTTCAGAGTGCCTCAGGGGTAGGCTTAACCCAACATGCCATTTATCATTGAATGTGTTGGTTGTGACTCTATTTGAAGGCCAGTACTTTCTGGTGATATGTGTTGGCTTTGATGGGAAGGGCCAGGATTGTCTCAAGGATGACAACATTGTGGATTATCTGAACACTGGTGGTCTACACATTGCACATTTCCAGCTCAGCACAGGACAATGGGATCTTCCTGGTTTTGTCATGAATCAGAGAAGGAAAGTCATGTGTCCAGAGCTGCACACCTACCATGCCACAGTTCTTGTTCTGTTTCACATTGCCTCATCTCATATTTTCTTAACTGGCCTAGCCACATCTCACCTAGAGAAGAAAACCTGTTTGGCCCTGCCTGTTAGGTAATCAGATCATGCTGCTTTATTGCAAAGATGAAAAAAATTATACTGACAAGCTGATAGTCACTTTCTCAAAATCATACAGCTGCATGGATATGACAGGGACTCCTCATAAATCAAGTCCACAAATAGATACAATAGTTTGTTTCTACTCTGCAGAAATAGCAAAGAACTATTTCTTTTAGTCATAGTGGGAAGCTGGACCTAGTGATGTTGGTTTTCTATTAGGCTATTATCTTGGAATTCCTGTGATTCATCCTGGACAGGGTGCTTATGTCAGACAAGTATACCCTTTCCTTTCATTCTCCTGTCCAAGCAATTTAGGAAACATTAGGCATGTAAAAGGATAATATTGAACCCACAACAATTTGACAGAAAATCATGAATTAATGAAACTGACAACTGCATTATAAAACTGTTGCTTTACTAATATAAAATTTCTGTTACCTTTTATTTTTATTAAAATAATAATGTGTTTGCTGCTTACTCTTTTTAGTTTTCAGTATTCATCCATGAATTGAAGTAAAAGCCCTATTTAAATATTTATGATATGTGTTTTCAACAAAAATGTAATTTGACTACCCAAAATTTGTATTTTTAAGTTTCTCTGAACAATTTTACACTAGTGAATGATAGCCAAATTCAAAAGAATAATATTAAAATTATGTTATGATGATTGGGAATAAAATATAAATTCAAAGTCATAATACATCATAATAAGTTGACAGCTAATAAAAATAAAATTCTCTAAATGCTGTGGACATGTGTGAAATAAACAAGAATCAATCCACACCCATGTGCCCAGCTTCACCCTGCCAATTAGCCCCACCATCAGCTCCCCACACCAGAATCTAGAGATTATACACCAGCAAGACCTGAAAAGCAAAATACAGATGAAACAGAAGAGACAGAACTTAAAATTTATTTTATGAATGTAATAGAGACCCTCAAAGAGGAAATGAGAAAACCCCTTAAAGAAGTGGAAAAAGAAACCAAAAAATTCAAGAAATAAAAAAAAATCTCTTAAAGAATCTAAGGAGAGTCAAAAAAAGACAAACAAACAAGTGAAGGAAACAACTCAAACAGTCAAATTCTTGAAAACTGAAATAGAATCAATAAAGAAACCACAGAATGAGGCAATGCTGGAAATAGAAAATAATTGATCAGGAAGTATAGATCTAAGTACAACCAATAGAATACAAAAGATGGAAGAGAGAATCTCAGGTGTTGAATACTCATTAGAGGATATACAGTCATTGACCAAAGAAAATCTGATGTTTAACAAATCCCTAACACAAAATATACAGGAAATATGGGATACCATGAAGAGGCCAAACCTGAGAATAATAGGTATAGAAGAAGGTGAAGAAATGCAGCTCAAAGGTACAGAAAACATATTCAGCAAAATCATAGAGGAAAATTCCCTAACCTAAAGAAGGACATACATAAGAAAGTGCAAGGATCTTACAGAATGCCAAATAGAGTGGACCAGAAAAAGACATTCCCTTTGTCACATGATAACCAAAATATCAAACACACAGAATAAAGAGAAAATATTAAGAACAGTGAAGGAAAAAGGCCAAATAACATATAAAGGCAGACTTATCCGAATTATACCCAACTTCGCAATGGAAACTATGAAAGCCAGAAGGTCCTGGATAGATATCCTAAAAACGCTAAGAGAACAAACATACCAGCCCAGACTACTGTATTCAGCAAAGCTTTCAATTACCATAGATGGAGAAAACAAGATATTCCATGACAAAACCAGATGTAAACAATACATATCCACAAATCCAGCCCTATAGAAAGTACTGGAAGGAAAACTTCAACCCAATGAAAACAACTACACTCACAAAAATGTAGGTAATAGATAATCCCTCTTTACCAAACACCAAAAGAAAAAAGGGGGTAATCCACACACATAACACCACCAACAACAAATCCAAAACAAACAAGAATCAGCAATCAATGATCATTAATGTCCCTCAATGTCAATAATCTCAACTAGCCTATAAAAAGACAGAGAATAACAGAATGGATATGAAGACAGAACACATACTTATGCTGCTTAGGAGAAACACATCTCAATGTCACAGACAGATGTTACCTCACAGTAAAAGGGTTGGGATTTTCCAATCAAACAGACCCAAGAATGAAGCTGGTGTAGCAATCCTAAAATCTACCAAATTAGACTTCAAACTAAAATCATCAAAAGAAACGAAGAAAGACATTTCATATTCATCATAGGAAAAATCCATCAAGATGAAGTCACAATTCTAAACATCTGCATCACCAATACAAAGGCACTCACATTCAAAAAATGAACATTATTAAACTCTAATCACACATAAAATCTCACACACTAGTAGTAGGAGACATTAGCACACCCTCTCACCACTAGGCAGGATCTCCAGACATTAACTTAACAAGGAAATAATATAACTAACAAGTTAAGACGCAATTGGGATTAACAGACACTATAGAACTTTCCATCCAAACACAAAAGAATATACCTTCTTCTCAGCTCCACATGGAACCTTATCTAAAATTGGCCACATAATTGGAAACATAGCAAACGTCCACAGATACAAAAAAATTGGAATAACACCCTGTATCTTATCAGACCACCATGCGTTAAAGTTAGAATTTTCAACAACACAAATTGCAGAAACCGTACAAATGCATGGAAATTGAACAATGCACAATTGCACTATCCCTGGGTCAAGGAAGAAATAAAAAAAAGAAATTAAAGACTTCCTGGAATTCAATGAGAATGAAGACACAACATACTCAAATTTATGGGACCCTTTGAAAGCAGAGCTGAGAGGAAAGTTCATAGCACTAAGTGCCCACATGAAGAAACTGGAGAAGAGTGACAATAGAGAATCACAAATAAGAGCTCTAGAACAAAAAGAAGCAAAATCACCAAGGAAGAATAGACCCTAAGAAATAATCAAATTGAGGGCTGAAAAAAATAAAGTAGAAACCAAGAAAACATTGCAAACAATCAATGAAACAAAGAGTTGTTTCTTTGAGAAAATCAACAAGATAGACAAACCTTTATCCAAATTAACCAAAAGACAGAGAGAGACCATGCTAATTAAGAAAATCATAAATGAGATGGAGGGCATTACAATGGACACTGAGAAAATCCAGAGAATCATCAGGTCATACTCTTAAAACCTGTACTCCACAAAAATCAAAAATTTAAAGGAAATGGACCATTTTCTGGATAGATATCATTTGCCAAAATTAAATCAAGAATAGATAAGCAGTCTAAACACTATAACCCTTAATGAAATAGAAGCAGTCATCAAAAGTCTCCCAACCATAAAAAGCCCAGGCCCAGACAGCTTCAATGCAGAATTCTACCAGAAATTCAAAGAAGAGCTAATTCCAATACTCCTCAAAGTGTTCCCCACAATAGAAGCAGGAAGCTCATTGTCAAACTCTTTTTGTGAGGCTACAATTACCTTGCCACCCAAGCCACACAAATACACAACTAAGAAAGAGAACTACCAACCAATATCCCGCATGAACACTGATGCAAAAATCCACAAGAAAATACTAGCAAATTGAATCCAAGACTACATCAGAAAAATCATTGACCATGATCAACTAGGCTTCATCCCAGGGATACAGGGATGATTCAACATATGAAAATCTGTCAATGTAGTTCTCCATATAAACAACGTGCAAAGGAAAAACCACATGATCATCTCACTCAATGCTAAAAAAGTCTTTGACAAAATCCAACACCCCTTCATGATAAAAGTTCTGGAGAGATCAGGGATAACAGGAGCATTCCTATACATAATAAAAGCAATATACAGTAAACCAACAGCTAACATCAAGCTAAATGGAGAAAAACTCAATACAATTCCTCTAAAATCAGGAAAAGGACAAGGCTGTCCACTCTCTCCACATCTCTTCAATAGTGTATTTTAAGTTCTAGCTAGAGCAAAAAGACAACAAAGGGAGATGAAGTAGATACAAATTGGAAAGGAAGATGTCAAATTTTCACTATTTGTAGATGATATGATAGTTTACATAAGTGACCTGAAAAACTCGACATGGGAACTCCTACAGCTGATAAACACCTTCAGCAAAGTGGCAGGATACAAGATTAACTAAAAAAAATCAGTATCCCTATAATATACAGATGATAAAAATGTTGAGAATGAAATCAGAGAAACATCACCCATTACAATAGTCCCAAGCAATATTAAATATCTGGGGATAATGCTAACCATACAAGTGAAAGACCTGTATAGCAAGAACTTTTGAGTCTTTAAAGAAAGAAATGAAGGAAGATACCAGAAAATTGAAAGATCAACCATGCTCTTGGATAGGTAGGATCAATATAGTAAAAATAGAAATCTTGCCAAAAGCAATCTACAGATTCAATTCAATCTTCATCAAAATACTGGCACAATTCTTCACAGAACTTGAAAGAACAATACTCAACTTTATATGGAAAAACAAAAGACCCAGGAAAGCAA